CCTCTTTAACTCTTCCAACAAGAGCTGCTTTTGTTATACATCAAATTGATAAAACAGTGCTGCAAAACCAAGAGAGTGACACAGGAAGAAAAGCCCCTTCGCATTCACACCTGTCTTTGAAAGCCCGACCACAGAAATGCTCAAGTTTCCATGCTTTGTTTGTTTGTCAGTAATGACTGTGACTTTGTGTTTGTCTTTGTGTGCAAACACAAAGGCAAACACCAGGCAGGTTATGTTATGCAGGTTATGCAAAGAGTGACAAAACATTTCTAGAGAAAAAAACACAGCTATTTAACTTTAAAAGGTAATATTTACTTCTCAAATCCTTACCCTTTAGTATATACACGTGAATATATCACATGTACAGAAGCTGGGCACAGCATTGTTTCAGGGAATTACTCATTTATTGCTTGACAAAACTCCAGCGCTGTTTGCACTGTGCAGTTTTTTCTCTCTCGTTGCAGGCATGAACAGTGAAGCAACAGACAGGAAATGTGGCCTCAGAGAGGGGGCTGTGACATGCAACACATTGATCTCTAGCCCAGGCTGAACTTGAACCAGTGACATTGTGGTTTTGTGCTACCATATTAAGAACATCTTTGTCAGACCAACATGTATTGGCTTGTGGTCCACAATACGTTGACCCTGATTAGACCACTAACAGACCAGAACACTGAGCACAATATCCTACTCTGACACAGACTGCAGCAATTTTGACATTTTTTTGTCACTAGGTGTACAGTAGTTCTGCTTGAAACTGACACACACAATTTGGGTCATTTTAATGCTATTTTAGTGGACTGCTTTTCAGTGGTAGTTTTAACCCTGTTGCTTTCATTTCTCTGACACATTAAAGAGAAGGTAAGACAGACTGCAGTGGGTTCAGGTGTCTTACAATTTTTATTTTTGGTTTAACACACAAGCGACTTGTGTTAAAGTCTCTCTAATCACAGTTGTTTGCCAGTGCAACATCAGTCTATTTTCAGTTAAAAACAAAAGGTTCAATTCAATATTTTTCAGTATTACTCATATTAGCTGACCCCTAGCAGCCAAGTCAACCCCTACTCTTCCCTACCTGTTCTTGATGTTTATAGCTTGTTTTATGCACAAAATGAAATTAATGTAATGTCTTGAAATATTGCTTTGCCACAGCTGTCATATTTGTCATTTTGTGCAACAGGTGTTTCCCTTCTTTTACGCAAAGACCTGTATAGTAAGAGAAGTAAAACGTGCAGCTGCCCAGCTGTGATTGGTGTTGTCAATGTTTTTTTTTTTTTTGCCTTCCCGTTTGGTTCTTTAGCAGTCAGAATTATTATCTGTAGGCCAACAAAGATACCCAACAGATTTACTTTACCAAGTGGATCATCACAGTCTTGCCGTATTGGTCCTTTTGTTTGACCTTTGTTATTATTATTTGTTTATTTTATTTTATTTTCAGTTGTTACAGACGGGCCAGACATGACTGGGGTATAGGAAAGGGAGAAAGAAAGACAGAGAGGGGGGTGAAAGAAAAACAGAGGGAAAGAGGGACAGTGAGAAGCACTTACCAAAAAAATCACCTGGATCAGCTGTTGAGAGAAGAAGAAAAAAAAAGAGAAAACAAGCAAAGAAGAGAGCAACATAATAAACACAAAACCATTGCAATAATCTAGCTAAGTGTAAATAACAGTAAATACTAAATATTGAACATTTTTGTGCAGCACGCAAGACCGACAGCACACAATGTGCTTTGAGATAGCAGCCAAGAAAGGTGTAGCTTGTGTTTGTGAACACCCATGCATGTGTACACCTGTGTGCACACCTGTGTGGATGAGCGTGCTTGCATTCAAAAGGTTTCTTCAGGTAATGATCTGAGGGTGTGGGGAGCAATGGCCTTGTCCCCCAGGGCATGAAGCAGGTATGGAGGAGCCCCAGACATTCAGAACCCCAGAGTGCGAGAACCCAAGGACAACCATCGGAGGGGCAACCGTG